ATCATGTGTGGATAGCAAGTGAAGGCACTTCTGAACTCACTCCGACCAGATGCAAATCCACTGTAGTTACCATGATCCCAGTGTAGTAAGCATGCTTCCTTTCTGTTTTTTTTTTGTCAGCTACAAGTATGCACCCAGTGTCAGTTCCTGAAGCTCAGCTGATTTTACTCTATCTCAGTAAGCTGTAGTTGATTAACTCTTTGCAACTGTGTTACATCCCTACTCTGATTCAGTCTTAACAGGGAGATGAAATATTCTTGTGTAATGGATAATCAGTTGGGTACCGGACATTTAGTGGTGCAGATCTCTTCAGGGTATCTTTAACAAAAAAAAAAAAAATAAAAAAAAAATTGTTGTCTTTCTTTTTTTATTTGAAACTATAAAAAGTATTTCAGATAGCCAGGATTTTGTATGAATGTACATAAAATCAATTTTGGACCTGGTAACATAATTTGTGATCTGTGAGGTCTCTCATCAGACAAGCTGGATGGGATTAATTAAAACTGCTACTTTTGGTTTATTTTGCACTATTTGCATCCAGGTTTCATCTGCAAGATATTGTAATGGCTAGAAGTTAGAGGGATCCCTGAAGGCACACTGTAAAACTGTTAATAGATTGTCATAGAAGGAGTCAGAGTTAGTTATGCCCTTCGCTCATGGAAGGAGCGGCAGCAATATATTTTATTTCTATTAAAAAGTGAGTTAACAAAGTTCAAAGGTTAATGCAACAGTGATTTAATAGGATTTGATGGCAAGGTACACTTGATCATTTACTGCATAGAGGACAGGGTCAGACCAAACTGTCAGGGAGACCCTCCCATTGAGCAACGAGGTTCAGAAAAGACTGCCTTGCTCTCTAGACTCCTTCTCAGAGAGGAGCCTAGGTGCAGCTGGATCCAATCCTAGTCTCAGACTTGGTCGACAGTTTATGTCTAAGGGATTATATATGTGCAATCAGTCCTTTACATCACTTAGCTAAGATTTCATATTTTAGCATGCTGTTAATCACCTACCGAGAATCTGTTGCGGCAAGGAATCTCTCAGCCTCGAGGAGTAACCTTGAGAGGCGTCCCTACTCAAGGGGAGATCCTGGTGTGCAGCCCAAAGTCACAAAAGCTTTTTATAACGTGATATTTCCAAACAGCTTTTCAGAGCTGTTGTGATTGCATCAATTTTACCAGTGAAATTAAATATAATGAGTTATAAGCAAATATTACTCCTACTTGGAACACATTTAAATGACGTTGTAGCTCTTGACAACAATGTTTTTCAAGGATGGGCTTGCAAATTCCACAGTTACTCATAGGAGTATTTTAGATGTGCTAATTGTTTGTAACACAGTTAAAGCAGTTAGATTTTTGCATGCTATGCAGTTAAGAGACCAAGCTACTCTGACTCTGTGTTGAAAATTCTTCCCCCCCGCCTTAACTGAAAGAAAATAGGAAGTGTTTAGAAAGTGTCACTGAGTTTAGGAGTAACAACTTTCATTTTCTCCTAATATGGATTTGGTATGCCATTAGGTGATAACTCAGTCTTTTTGGTTAGAAGCATCAGTGTTCCTAACCAGGTCTGTTCTATATCCAGCCGAATTTTTGTCTAAACACCTAAGTGTCTCAGAAAACCAAATGTTTTAAAGAAATTTATTAGACTTAATTATGACCAAGTTAACAACCTAAGAAACACAAAGTGATGCTGTGACATTACTGTGTGATGGAATTGTGATGTGGTGACTGTAGTAGTGGGAATTCAAACTGTCCCATGTCCCTCCCAGGCCTGTGTGCTGATACAGAATGAGAAATAGGAAAGACAGTGGTCTTAGCTGACAATTTCTGTTTTCTAGAGGTGTTTTTGAGAGCTAGATTTTGAGGTTTTCATAGGTAGTGCTTTTCTGCAAAGCTTCATTGTAGTGATGGTATTATATAGGCTGATCTTTTTAAAGATTTCTTTAATTTCTACAGCCTTGTACTGCTGCGTGAGAGAAAAATGGTAGAAAACCCTGCTATTTTATCTTGATTTTCCCCTTCCTTCCCTTCGGGCTATTGCTATATGCGGGGGGGAAAAAAAAAACAAACAAAAAACCCAAACTACAAACACAAAGTTTTTTGGTTTCTGACTAAATTATCCAAATGAAGTCACTGTGGGTAATTGTGTGAAGCAGCATTTGCAATCCACAAGTAGAACAGCTTTTCTTAACTAATGTTGCTTTCTTAATATATCTGATTTAGTTTAGCTGCCCTACACAAGCAACTGTGGATTTTTTACCCATTGGGGTGATATTCCTTCATAATTTACTGTATAAAACACACTTAAACTCGTAATAGTTAATATTTTAAAAATACTGTGTTACTTACTGCTCTAACAGCTAGAGGCCCTGATGATGAACCAGCCGTCTGCTGGTTCCAGAGAGACTGAAAGAAGGGGGAAACAATGAAAATATTTTTTTAGTAAATGACAGGGGTCGGAAGAATGCAAACCATGCCAGTAATAGCTGTTGGTAAACTCTTCTCTTGAAGTGGTAAGAGGTTTAAAGTTATGTGTCACTTCTGTTGTAATTCTGTTCATGCTATTCTTTTCATTACCTTTTCTCCACCAAGATCCATTCTTTTCCTGCTTTCATGATATACATCACTTTTTCCTTTGAAATGGTCTTCTGCTATAGTGTGCCTGATTATCTCTGCTCTTTTGAGCGGAGAATCCAAAATCCCACTGCTTCTGCTGAAGCATCACATCTATAGGAATGATGCATAAACTCTACTCTGGTTAATCTTTTCAGGCAGCAAGAGAGCTAGGCATTTAAGCGTAGGCATCTTACGTTTTTTGCTGAAACATTAATCAGGATACTCGGGTGTCTCCAAATGGTAGTGGTCCTTGAGTGGACCAATTATTTCCTGAGAGCAATTATAGTATAGGTGCTCCTTTGTAGGAGTTTTACAGTGAATTAAAAAGATTGTTTTCACTACTGAAGGAGCAGAGCATGCTGTTCTGGATAGAGCTAATCTCCTGTCCTTTGCTGCACACTTTGTGTTAGTTGTTGAGGCTGTAGAGTGCCACAAGGCCTCTAAAAGAGGGCTCTAGTGTTTCCTTTACATGTAAATCACATAGAGTTCAACAGATCTAGCACATACTGGATTTTTGTGCATTTGGGTTGGTCTTTTTAAAGTATACACTGTGCTGTTAAAAGTGGATTTTTTTAAAAAGATTGTGTACTTATTTTTAAAAAACAAGTCAGTTTTCATATGGAGTAGGAGTTATGCACTCCTTAGTCATGACCTACTTTTTAAGGACTAATCTAGATATTAATGAAAGTAAAACAAACTTCCTTGGTTTACAGCAGTGTAAGTGAAAAGCAAATACAGAATATATTTTGTTCATTAGCAGTAATAGAAATTGTGTCAAAAAGCAGAGAAAAATGATTCATTTCTCAGCTGGTGGTGAGGCTGTTTTGCCTGATTGCATACCAGTTGGACAAAATGAGCATGTTGTAAGTGTGGGCTTTTAAGTGGAGCAAAGCTGTCAATAAGAATACACTGAAGGAGTCTGCCTCTAGAACCTGTTTGTTCTCCCTGTAACTTTAATCCTGTTTATCATCCCTATTTTTCCAATTTATTCTCATAGCTTTAATGTCCTTGCGCTTAATTATTTCTTTTCCCTCTTTTGCAAATAAAGGTAATTCTTTGTTTTAGTGCAGGAAATTAGACCTCTTTTGTTCCTGTATAATCTTATGTAAAGCTCTCTTTAACACACCTTGCTTTATTTTTTTTAGTTCCTTCTTTTTGTAAAGTACAGCTTGTATTTGTCAGGGATGTTGACTCAATATTTAAGAAACAGTTCTTCAGGATATGGAGTGTAGGAAGACAAATTATTCCTTATTTGCTTTGTCTTTGCAAGCTGCACACTTTATGCCATTACAAAAATCTTTGCATGGTATTAAGGTAACACTTGTGTTTCCAAGCCAAAGGGGAAATATACAGTAATCTGTACAGCAGAGAAGGATGTAGCTAAAATCTCTACTGTCTGTTATATTATCATTGGTGAAGCTATGTATGAAAAATTACAACACTGGGAAATGGCCCATTGTCCAGAAGGGGGAAAATAATGAAAAAAACAGTCAGCCTAGAAAAACTGGTATTTCTTTTGTCCTGTCACAAATTTATCACTTTGTCAAGTTTCAGGCTAATAGTATAACAAATTTTTATGCCTTCCTTTCCAGTGCAGATAGCTTCATTTCAGTGTGAGTATTTAGTGTGTTCAATTAGTGTGCTACGTGAGGGGAAAATCATGACCCTGTTTTCTGCAAGTGACTTGAAAGGCTTTATTCCAGACTAATTTGGCACAGCGAATCAGTGTTGTTATCGAGTATAATCAGTAGTCTTAATTTGGGAGAAAGCATCTCTCCTCATACTAAGGAAGACCTTGGAAAGAAATTTGCTTTCATTATATATGTCAACTATTTTCAGTTTACACCTCTGTAACTTTTATGGTCCAACTACCATGCCTTTTTGAAACATGAGTTTATTAAAAAGTTGTGCAAGGTCGTGTTTAGGTCCTAAGACATTCATGCAGTTAAGGTCTTAGAATAATGCCTAGTACTGTATCTTACTTTTGATTTTGTAATTATTTACAATTTTGTTTAAGATAGCACAAGGTAGCATGTATTTTCTCTATTTAGCACATTACAGTTATGAAAATCTTCAAGCTCAATTTCAGGATACAGCTTTGCTTTAGCAAGCTGCAGAAATTGCATGATATATTTAAAGCTAGGTTTACTTATGTGCTGGCATGTATCAGAAGAAATAATCTTCTGCAAATACAATAAGCTATTGAATATTATATCTGTCTTGTTCCATTTCCTTTTTCTTCTATTCTGTTAGTCTTATTCCAAGGAAAGTTTGCTTTTCATTTTCAGTTTGGAGGAGGCAAATTGTTGCTGCTGTTTGTACTTCCAAGTTCTGATTTTTCTTTTTGTGGTAACTATTCTTTCTTCTTAAAATATTGTGCAGGGCTCACTATCCCGGAACAAAAACAGTGCCGAATGCCTTATTAACTCAGAAGAAACTGTGGTCTTCAGAAGATTACAGTACTTTCAATGATGAAGTAGGTGCAGGCTGCTGGGCTCGGATCCTGAACCAAAACTACGTGAATGGAAACATGACCTCGTAAGTGTTGTGTGCTGTTGCTTGCTTTCACAGCTTCATATATGGGAATTGTTTCGAGTGCTACATAACACATCCATCTGCAGTGGTAAGATAGTAGGTAAGCTGAAACTCTCTCCACTGTCAGTCTGAATTAAAATATAGTAAGGTATGAAGTCTACTGTCCCTTCCTATTCCTGGAATAGAAGTACCACAAGTTTTAATATATATCCTCAGTTACTGTTCCTTGGTATCCAATGGCTTATGCAGCCGAGTTCAGATGCCTTTGAGACTGATGATATTTGTTGAAAAGAGAATGTTCTTAAGCAGAACTAACAACATGAAAACCATTGGAAGAAAAGAACAGTCAATTTATCTGTATTTTTCTTAGGGTCTTTATCAGGTTGTCTTCAGTTAAAAGTAGTAGGTACAGATGTCATTATCTAGTTTTTCCATACCATTTCTTTCTCAGAGTCCATTCTAAAGCTTGTTGTAGTCTTTTGATGTTTACTGTTTCCTGCACTTTTTTTTTTTTTTCCCAAGCTGAAATGTGGAAGAAAGCTGTTCTGTTTATTGGGAAGTTACATAACTTGCAGTTTTAGAAGAGAAGACAGTTTGATGTTTCCAGTGTTAACAATTACTAATCTGAAAGAAAAAAGAATTCTTATTAAAGGAAATGTAGGCACCAAGATGTAAGCAAAATTGTTCAAAGCTTTTAGTTTTTGTGTAACTTCGTTTTGGAACAGTGAAGTGTTTTGTCTGAAATGCTTGAAATGGAGCACAGCACAAAGCACTTGGATGCTTGTAAAGGGAAGTTTATTGAGTCACCTGGTTTCTATGAATCTGTCTCCTCCTCTGCAAGCTGAAATTTTCTAAGAAATTAATATTTCCTATATGAATTCCTGACCATTGTTGTCTCTTGGCTCTCATGCTTTAATAACTTTGAGATCTATCTTTTCCCACATTTTTCTTCTTTTTTACAAGGCCTTTGTGATTATATGTCCCATTTGTTTAGCAACCTGACAGCCAGACCCCTGTGCATTGTGTTTAGAAATTATTGTGGGATAGTTCCAAGTCCATATATCCAATATTGAAGTTATCTTGGCTTTTATATTGAAAACAGAGTCTTCCTGATGAAAGGTGGCTTATCTTTCTGCTAAGCTTGTTTCCTTTGAACTTGAGTACCCTACATTCCTTTTCTAATCTTGAAACTTGGCAGAACAAGTTTAATGTGAGCAAGTTCTTGAGTTTACAACTCAAGAGTTTATTTTATGAGCAACTTTTGTAGTGTTTCAGGATCTCTTCTGAAATGCATATATAGTGTGCTAAATCTATGGCAATGACTACAGAATATGAGACCTTTATGCTCGTCTGTATGCAGTAGCGGAACAGCATGCCAGCTTTTGCTTCCTATGTAACTGCTTTATTAAGCTGTACGTCTATACTTACAGTGCACAGGTCTTAAGTTTAAAGTCCTAGCAAAAGATTTTCAGTGAAGACCAAATCAAAAAACCGTGTCAGTGTCCTGCCAACTTCATGAAATGGCACAACTCCTGGAGGATGGCTGGTTGGTGTTATCTGCTCATTACTTATATGGATAAAGGAAGGATTATTTTTTTTTTTTAGTGGTACTTAACCACTCCTCCAAGCCCTTGCCCTCCCAAAATAAAGAATCACCACCAGCATCGACCAAACAAAAAAAACCCAAACCCAAAACACCCCCCCAAAAAGCTGTAAAACTTTATAGCTTTAATTTTTTCCCCTTCGAAATGGGAAGAAAAATAAGGATGAATAGAGTCTTTAACACTCAGTACACGTTTTCTTTAATGTGCAACTTTTTATGGTGATATAGCCAGAGAATGTATCATCAGTTTTGTACGAAGTTCTCAACACTGGAAGTCTCCTGTATTTTTTTTTTTCTTTCTCCTTTAGCTGATTTTTTTTTTCCTTAAACTTCATTGTATGCTGGAGAAGAAAGTAAATTCTTGGTCTAAATTAATCTAATACTGTCCATATGAATGGAGTAAACAAACCTGTTTTTCTTCCAGAACCATTGCATGGAACTTGGTGGCTAGTTATTATGAAGAGTTGCCCTTTGGTCGATGTGGCTTAATGACAGCACAACAGCCGTGGAGTGGCCACTACAAAGTAGAAGCTCCTATCTGGATTACAGGTAAAAAGTTTGTAGGTAAAAGTTTGGTGATCTAACACAGAGCATAACTGTATTTTCCAAGGCCTTTATTTAGTGGTTTTTATATGTATTATTTTTTGTACCAAATTATATTAGTTTTGTGGAAAGTTTTGTGAATACTTTGAAAAAAGAAGAAAACCCCCCCCCATAAGAAGCAGAAAGATCTAGTAGCAAAGGAAATATTAATACTTGACCATTAGATACAGTGGAAATTAATGACCTACTGCCTGTTATAGCTGTTACTATTAAGTATTTTGATATGAAGTGCTCATGAAGGTTAGTGTACTTCCCTAGTTCTTTCCACTTTTTTTTTTTTTTTTTTTAATCCATAAGTAGACATTTGATACCTGTCCATTTGAGAAAATAGAACAAGGAGCCTCTGTATTCTTGTCATGCTTGAGATTCTTGGCTTGTGTAAGTCAGCATTTCCTTGTGCTTGGGGAAAGTGGAATACGTTCACATAGTGTCTATGGACACGTGGATTCACTGGCTACTTGTAGTCCTGTAATATTTTCCTGTCTTTGTCATGGTTCAGTAGAGCAGGGAGCATATGCAATGTCATAAAGAAGGAACAAGGCAAACGCTTGCATTTTTATTCTTCTGCTAGTTACCTGTATATGTAAAAGCATTAACAAAAAGGCCATACAAGAATTCAGAACAACTGAGCAGTTGTTTCTTTTTCCATGCTGCTCAGGATTTTCATAATCTAGGTCATATTCTGCTTTGGTACTCTCGCATGCCAAAACCCGTTCTTATTTAGTTATGCCTCATGGAGATGCCCATCTAGGCTTTCTCTGCCTCACTTTTTGACTTTATTTAAAAAAAAAACCCAAACAAAAAAGGAGAGATTTAGGGAATTCTAAACCATGATGAATATTCATATTGAATGTACATGATTGACTTATATAGTACTGTAATAGCTTTTTCTTTGTGACTAAATAGTGGCTATGATTTTAACTGTTTTGTCTGCCGCAGAGATGATTTTTTTTATAATTGTGCCTTAGTATAATTCTTTAATCTTTCTTCTTGTGTAGGTAGAAATTCTTTTGGAAATTCCATTACTTTCTTCCCAAAATCAAATTTTTGTTGTGTAAGAATGTACAAGTGAGAAATCTACTTCAGACTACAAACGGTATTATTTTTTATTAAGACTTAATTTTTTTCTTCTGATTTTTTTTGTTCTGTTTTGTCTCAGCACACACAACACAATTTACTCAGCCAGGCTGGTCATACTTGCAAGTGGATGGACACTTAGAAGGAGGTGGAAGTTTTGTAGCTCTGACAGATGGCCTAGGAAACCTTACCATCATCATTGAAACTATGGTATGTGCATCAGCAATTCCAATGAACTAGAAAAGATAAAGAAAATGTTTTGTTATGAAGAACCTGTTTTGATTTATGTAGTTCAGTGTCTGTGAATATGTTCTTTGATGGTTGTAGCTTTCTTAGTGAGACCTGTAGAGATCCCCTTTTCTATCTAAACTTTGAATACCTAGTTGAATCTTCCTGGAGACCAATGTATATGTCATCTTAATATCATAAATTAGCTTTTATTTGATGACACACTCTGGGAGGAAATTAAATCATATTTTTTTAAGCAGTATTAAAAATAAAATTATTATGCTAGAATAATTGCAGTTCTCATTAAGATAACAGTGAAATAAATAGTTACAAATTGATGATATGTTGCTTTTTTAAATTTAGTTTATGCTGTATGATTTTCATGAACATCCCATGTGATACATTCCAGTAATGTATGTTCCTTCTGTTGCATTTATTTTTTTCTTCAGACTCATAATCACTCTCAATGTATCAGGCCTCCACTACCTCATTTCAGTGTGACACCTCAGAGAGCAACTTTCTACCTCAAAGGGTCGTTTGTAAGTAGATCTTGAATACATTTTATCAATCTTGTAAAATCTTTGTTATCCATAATCAAATACATGCAAAACAAGATCACAGGTTAGCAAGAAATTGGAGTTCTTTACCTCCAGTACTAGAGGCTGTTACACATGTGTGGTGAGTTAACCTTGGCTGGGTGCCAGGTGCCCACCAGGCCCCTCTATCACTCCCTCTTCAGCAAACAAAAGGTAAACAAAGATGTTATTCTCTACTTCCCCTCAGTAAGCGATGTCTGGCCACTTCCCAGGAAGGTAGAGCTTCAGGATGTGCAGCAGCTGCTCCTGGAGACAAACACAGTAACAAATGCCCCCCTCCTCCTCCCTGCCCTTGGCTTTTATGGCTGAGCTGATGTCACATGGTCTGGAACAGCCAATCCGGGTCAGCTGTCCCAGCTCCGCCCCCTCCCAAGATGTGTTACCAACACCCTGCTGGCTGCCAGTGCAGCACTCAGCACTGGGAGGGTGTTGTGGGGATACTGACTCCATCTCAGACAGACCCCATACAACACGTAGCAAAGTTTTAAGGCAAAATTTTAAGCATTCTGGTTCTGCTTTTACCGTGAGTTGTAATGTCGGAACTGAATTTGTAGAACTGCTACATCTGTATATTCAAGGTGAAATTCCCAAGAACAAAAATTTAATTGGGTTTTTCTTTAGGATTCATTCCAAGGAATAATTTCCAAGGGTGCTCTGACATGCTGACATAGTTTGACCTACCAGCATGGCCATGACCTTTCTAGTTATTAGCTCTTTTCCAGGGGAGCAACTACAGTTGATTGTATACTGTAGGTTATGTTGTTCCATCGTACGATCAGATATTCTGAGAATCTCCCAGTTCTGTGTGTTTGGTTTTTTTTAATCTTGCTAAGATGAATTTCCATCTGAAATGTGAGCAATACTTTCACAATGTAAACTGCAGAGAATTTTTGTTAGTTGTTTTGAATTATTTCTTCTCAGAAGCTGAAAGTGTTTACTTATTTGGAATTTTATTTTTGGTGGCACTAGTTTCATTTATGAGGAGATAGTTTGGATGATACTTTTGCCAATAAAATAGTTTCCTTAGAAAAAGTACTTGAGCGTCACTTTTGTCATACAGCTCCATTTGAGGGAAGTATCAGACTGCTTATCCAAACCAAACTCTAGGTTGCTTGCTTTGTTGTTCATCTGAGTAACTAAAAAAAAATTGTAGGAGTTGTGTATGATTAAAATCTAGAACTAAGGTAGTTGATATGCCATAGTATCTCAGAAGTTTGGAGGTCTGTAAGCGAAGTACTTTGCTCAAAAATGAATATCAAAGAACCAAAGGTCTCATTAAAGCAAAATTAGCAGGAGATTATTTCAGCCTAGTTGCTCCTAGGCAGACAGCTTGTATCAAAGGGAGACCATTGTTGATACAGAGAAGCTGAAGATTGTGATTGCAATGCTGTCTGTCTTTATAAGCAGCATTGCTGCCTGTTAGGACAATGGCTTATGGATGTATAGTCAATAAAAAGATAAACCATATGTAATGGCTAGCTGAACAGAGTCGTGGCCTCTAATGTGATCAACAGCTCTAAAATAGCAAAAATTAGATACCCATAGAGGACTGAGATTTATCAAGGTCAATATTCAAGTTGGGGGTTTTGGGGTTTTTTTTGAATTTTATATTGTGTTTCATTATAGTATATGGTGGAAACCCTTCAAGTGTGGCATTCTAGGCTTGGTTTTGAATCTGGAAACTCTAGCCTTTTCCAGCAACTCAATCCTGTAAAGGTAAGTTGATCCGTTTTAATTAGAGTTTCTCTGCAATTTCAGGTGTTTCTTCTCCCCTTTGCTGGAACTCCTGGACTTTCATGCCTAAACTGCATAATTAGGGCATGTTTTATTAGCTCCATTTGACTACAATATTACTAGCTATATACAAGCTTACCTGGAGGTAATAAAGAGTTTAAGGGAAAGGGATTTTCAAAATAACTCGGAGGTATTAAATGCTGAGGCAAGAAGACGAGACTTTTGCCTTAAATCAGGACTTTAATTCTCCTTTAGTTCAGGAACTTGGTTATTTTGTTATTCAGTTGTTTGATTTTTTTGCAACTTGAGCTTTCTTTAATTTCAGGTGTGCAAGGGAAGGTTTTCTTTAGATCTAAATGTAGATGAAGTTTACACTTTAACCACACTCAAGACAGGGCAGAAATGTCGTTACCCAGAGCCTCCATCACCTCAGCCCTTCCCTTCAAATTACAAAGATGATTTCAATATTCGTAAGTAAGAATTCTCTTATCCAAAAACTTAATTCACACACAGATGTAGTCTTAATGTAGAAAGACAATAACAATTATGTTGTTTGAGTCCTCTAATGTAAGTGACATGAAGTGTCTGAATGGGTTTTAGTTTTTTTTATTTATACCTGCTTCCCCAACAGCTTACACCTTGCAATAAGGTGTATTAAATTCTATGTCAGTGGTCACTAACATTTTAAAATTCTTGATGCAAATGATGTAGCTCGTAACTATACTGAACTAACTGAACTTGTTTTTCTAAGGAAGATAGGGAAGAAGGTAATTCACTTTGTTCATGTGTTTGCAAAAAATGGGGTCTGCTTAAAAACAAAACCAAAACAAAAATGACCTTCCAACTCCCAATACTTCAGTTTTGGAGACTGTGTTTGATAGAATAAGTCAAAATTCTGGAGAATATTTTCAGAGGAGCTTCCTGAAAACAAGAGTACACAGAAGAAAAATAATGTTTTGGTGTTGATGTGTATTTTATTTTCTGTACAGGTAATCCACCTTTCAGTGAAGCCCCAAATTTTGCAGATCAGACAGGTGTATTTGAATACTTCATAAATGCTTCTGACCCAGGAGATCATGTGTTCACACTCCGCCAGGTGGTGGTTCAGCGACCTGTCACTTGGGCTTCTGATGCAGACCAGACCATCAGTCTCATAGGCAATTTTCAGTGGTATGTAAATAGTATTTTGCAGTGACATCTGAGGAAATTACCTCCTTACTAATGTGAGTTATGATCAGTTAATCTGTCTCAAGCCTCATTTCTCTTGGACAGAGGGCTTTTGCATTCAGACTCTCTATAGACATGTAGAAATGATGACCTAAAGGGACTTCCAGAAGTCATTGAGCCCTGCTCAGGGCTATTAGAGCCAAATTGATTCAGTTTAAATTACTTAATTTTGACTTGTCTTGCTTGATTCTTAACAATTTGGTCAATCTCATATCAATGAAATAGTCTGGGAGTTAATTCAGTTATATTTGTTGCAGACTGCCATCTTCAGAGCTGTTCCTAGAGTTGTGTGGATTTGATTCAGCTGCTACTTAAAATATTTTTATTTCTGGGAAATGTAACTGAGATTTACTGGTTTGACAAGAGTATGGTTATGACTTAAATTCTTTCTAGGAGCTGTAATGATGGTAATTTGGAATCAAGCAGCATATTTTAGCATAATGTTTATTTAAAATTAAAAAAGCATTTGGGAAAGAGACTTAACTAATTGATTTAGTAATAGTAAGTAATAAACTTCTATGCTTAAAACCTTTTCTTCTATTTATATATATAAATATATTTTATATTTAACTTATTATGATTAAACTTCAGGATTATTTATTTGGTTTTAGTTTGGATTTTAATCTTGTGCTTGTGAAAGCTTTTTGTTTCTACTTCTGAATTTGTTGATGTTTTACTCTGATGGTTTTATTGAACCTAGCTGTATCCTGAAAATATTAGTATTTGTCTCATTTTGCATTGCTTCTGATCTCTTTATAATGGCTTAAGCAAGATGTGTTTATTACATAGGGAGGCAAGAAAGAAATCTTGTTTGTGTAATGAATATGTATCCAATAATCCAATACTTCTAATAGAATTACATTAGAACGAAATCTCAGGTCGTGTAAGAGCTGGGAAAAAAATAAATATTTTTAATGATTTAGTTATCTGATGAGCTGATGTTATAGAGAGTCTTTTCACATTCTGTAAATAGTTACAGATAATTAGAAACTTCCTAAATATGCAACTTTATGGCTGTATCCATATTGCAAGTCCTTTCAGAGATGGGATGCAGATTTTTAATTTGAATGTACGTTCATAGAGGTAAAGAATGCCTTTAATTTTTATTGTTAAGAGGCTTGTAGCACAAATTTGGGGTGGGGGAAGTTGTGTAAATTTTCTAGGTGCCATTTGATTGTTCTGGTATTCCTGTGCTTTATTCTCCTTTACAGTGGTCATTATATGTATAACGTAGTGCTTTACTGCTGAGCTGAAGTATCACCTCAGGAAAACAAAATAATTTCAACCTATTTGAACATTTTGTTTAAAAAAAGTTTGCTTTGGCTTTTGGGCAAGAGGTCTAGATTACTTAAGACTTGGCCCGTATTAAAAATCCTAGACAAATGAAGATCACATTGCAGCAGATGTTGTGCTATGACCTTGAATCGTGGATTTGATTTAGTTATCTAAAAGCAACTTTTCATTTTGCAGACCTGAAATTTGTTATGTGGAGGCACAAGTCTACTGGTTGGTTTTGTTTTGTTTTTCGTTTTTTGGTTTTTTTTTTATTTGGTTGGTTTTTTTAATAATTAATTAAAAGTTGCTGACAAGACACTTATGTTGTTGGTTTCTGAGAATTGTTCCTGTACTACATAAGGAATATTCTTTCACCTACTGCCTGCTCAGAAAAATCGATTCCTTGCTTGTTAAAACACTAAACTTCTCTTATAGGGTAAACATGACAGTCACTTGTGACATCTACATAGAAAAACAACGTGATGGGGGCGTGTTTGTTGCAGGAAGAGTCGACAGTGGTGGGATATATGTTAGACGTACCAAAGGAGTTTTCTTCTGGGTTTTTGCAGATGGCACCTACAGAGTCACTGGTGACCTAGGTAAGCAGCTCTTTGCTAAAGTGGATGCTGACGTATGGAGGTTTCATTTTGATAGCCTTGATAAAAATAACCGACATTCAGATTTTGTAATTCAGTTGTCATCACTATGAATTTAACCCGTTGTGCTCTAATGGTGGCCACATTTTGTATGTGAAGAGAGCATCTGAAGGCTACTGGCTGATCTACTTCTCTCTGGATTTTTTTTTTCTTTTTCCTACTGACAAAACCTATTTTACACTAGGAAATGTAAATTATTTTGATTTTCATAAATACTCTGATACAATATTAATTATGAAAAGGTTTGATACGTATTCTTATACTACACCTAAAAAGAAAATCTTGCTTGAAATGTGGCCTGTCTTGTAGAGCAGTGCAATGTATATACATCTTGCTTAGGTGACGATGGTGAGTGGCCTACTGTTTCCACAAATTGTGCATTCTGTTAGTCTAGCTCAGTGGAGTGAAAGCAACAAGTTCTGCTAGTGATGTTAATGTTCATATGTGTTCATTTATAGAGCACTTGACAGGCACATGAAAGAAAAAAAACATAATACTTCATCAATACCTAAAGTTCTTTTTAATTTGCTTTGAAATAGTGGCAGGTCTTGTTGTTTAAGTGCATTTCCTATCACTTCATGAGTATAAATTAGAATTTTCAATAGTTTCTGATAAGTCAAATGTAACTTATAGATCTACAGTGTATCTGATATGAAGACAGCTTAAAATGACCCGTTTCACACTGTATGGGACCTTAAAAACAGTCTCGTCTTCTATTTGGTAGCTGTAGTTTCTTATTTAACCTAGTTGGTTTGTTTTTTGGGGTTTTTTGTTTTTTTTTTTTGGTTTTTGGTTTGGTGTTTGTTTGGTTTTGGTTGTTTTTTTGTTTTGTTTTTGGGTTTTTTTTTTTTTTTTGGGTGGGTAGCATAAAGAAGGCTTTACATTAGCTTTTCTTAACATACCATAGCTCCATAGGGAAAATTCCTGTTGTCTAACTCCACAACAACTAAAATTTCAGCTGTATGTCAAAACATACTCCTGTTTAGGATTGACTCCAGTATTTATTTTTAATAAGACATAACACTGTTACCCAATTAGTTTCTCGGGCTGTCAGACATAATTTTTCCCACTGGAAATGAGAGGATTTTGATTAACCACCTCTTTATTTTGACTTGTTACACAATATGATATTTTTTTCTGTAGAGCTATTTTCAGTGATCTTTGTATTTTTCTAGAAGGGAGCCTGAATGTTAAATTAACTTACAGCTAAAACTGTCTACTGAATAATTGAAGATTTTGCCTGTAGCACTTAATTTTTTTTTCAGGTCTTCCAACCAGGTGTCAGTCACACCCAATTTTTGCTTAGCTTAAATTTTGAGTAGAACTCAGCAACATGGTGATGTGGCACCTCAAACCATCTGATTTTAAAAAAGCTCCAATACATAAACAAGGAAATTTATATAGAACAAGCAGAGCAATAGCTACCATCATGCTTCAAGAACCTATACTCTCAATAGAGGGAATCGTTATCTCAGGCCAAATTCCCAAGAGCATTGGAGATTTCAGTGTAAAAACAGTCCTGGCAAAACAGGTGAATTCACTGATAATGCAGACTCCAGATTTGCATGTTAAGCCTTCCACGCTGTCGTCAAAACTGGTAAGGTGTCAGTCCTGAACACTTCTGAAAAATAGGTACTGTTTTCCTTTTGTTGGCTTGGTCAGTCTCAGCAAAGGGATGAAGTGACACTTTGCTAACCTTAGGCATGTTTTTTTGCAGCTGGAGAAGAAATACTAATGAAAGGACTTTCTGGTGTCCGGGATAATGCATGGCACACACTTACTCTAAACATTCAGGTAAGGACACAAGCAAGAAGCTAGGAAACCAGTTATGAAACTTCCAGTCCTAAATAATTTAGATGAAAAATTGACTGTCTACTTGCATTAGTTTGCCCTAAAACATAGATAATATCTATGTTGCTTTAAAACAATATTAAAATACAATACAAAGTTCTTCTGACTGTATTTTTAAAGAGATCTTGAGAAACTGGAGAGAGTATAGAAAATAATTGGAAAGATGAGTTGAAAGCTGGAGATGGGAAGGCTAGAGAGGCAAATCTTTTGTTTTATCTAATGAAAAGATCATGACCTGGCTTCCTGTTCTGAAGACTGTCAGTAAACTACTAAACTAGCCTGTTTTACAAATCTGACTCCCACCAATTCCCTTTGCATGCAAAGGCCTTGTATGTGGAACTAGTTAAGGACTGGGGAACACAGAGGAACTGCCATCCTTCTTTCCTATACTGAAAAAGCATCGGCATAGTGATGCTGTAAAAATGGGCCACAGTTAATGAGAAACCTGTCTGCGTTTTTTCCTTCCTCCCAACTCTACCCCTTTTGGCCATAGTCAGTTGGTGAGGAAAGTAGTCCCAAGCTCTACTTTAAATATACCTGTGCACTTAGCTGAGTGTTATGTTTGTGAAAGTAACTAAAAGACTTTAAGTTCCTCTGCTGAATACCTGATCTCTTTGCTTAATGTAACCTTTGCCACTGCAATGTGGCCTGAAATGTGGGGAAGCTTGAGTCCTAGCTGGGGAGATCTACTGAAGCAAGCTCTCTTTTGAAATTATGCACTGAGTCTTTCCCTCATCCTAAAATGTCTGTGAGTATTAGAAGCTGATTTTTATCTTTTGTGCTTTCACACTGGTAGATAAAGGGGTGCTCATACCTGAGGCATTCACTGGAATAGATGTAGTGTAATTTTGGCTTTTGTACACCCCCTAATGACAGTGATTGCCATCTGTAAAATGGGCCAAGACATTTGCTAATCTGAATGGGGTCCTGAAGATGAACTTAAATCGTTTAAAACACAAAACGGTGGTAATTTTAAAATGGTGATGCTACAAGATTCCGTCTGTGATTCTACTCTGAGTTTGCAAAGCTGGAATTAGGGGAAGATGAGCCTTTTGTATATTGACTGTAGAGGCATTAGATCTGTTTCAGAGAGCTGATAGGCACTGGAGGATTCTATGCAATATTTAGAAGTTCTGCATGGAAAATGTGTGAAATGTAGTTGAAAGTTGACTTGATGTCTTTCTGCCTTGTCTCTTCTCCAGTGTGAGCAGGCTCAGTGTCAATACACTTAATCACTGGATTTTACAAAGCTAACTTTTTCTTTTTTTGGACAGGGTACTGCTGCCTTTGGACTGTTAAATGGTTATCCGCTCTGGGAGAATGTCACCATTTCTAAACCAAGTAACGGCTGGGCTGCTATTGGAACTCGCTCATTTGAGTTGGCACAGTTTGACAACTTTCATGTTGAAGCTAGCTGAGGTGGCTTTTGCATTTGGAGAAGCCAGTTCTCACATTACTTTGAATAAGAACCGGTTTGAGACTTTGAGGACAACTTAACGCTATGCTGAGATTGATCTGTTGGCAAGGAATCTGAATTCTGTCATTTATTTGTTAAAGGTTTACTTGAGTAGGTATCAACATAGCTAACTTTATCCCCTGGTTGCTGTGGGATTTTTGCTCTTACATTTCTGGGGGTAAATTTTAGTTCAGGGTAATGATGAAAATAAAATCATGTTTTTAAATCTCTTTTAATAAAAACATCTTAACCTCACAGCTCACTTTGAAGATCACTTCAGAAGTTAACAGAAGACAGAGGCATCTCAAGCTGCATTTTTAGCACTTACATGATTGTGTCCTTTCCTTTCACTCTGAAAGAAAGAATTAAATGCCAGTAAGCCTTATGAGCCAGTGGCCTCATACTTCTGTAGGTCTGTCGTTCTCAGATTTCATTTGGAAAATGAAAAAAAAAGTAAAAAAAAATATTTTTTTATGTTTTTATGCTACAGTCTGAAGCTAGACATTACAGTACTCCAAGTGCATTTGCTTGCTTCTTCCTAATTAGTTCTTCCAGCTTTCATTGCCAGCCTTAAAATAGAACATATTTTCAGTGAAATGGAAATGTGTCTTCTGGCTGATCAGCGACTGCAGTACGTGCCTTATTTCTAAACTACCTCCTCTTTGCAATGAAAGGGTTGAAATGGATGAGATACCATAACTTGCAGTTCATTAATGATAGCCTTGTGGGTTTTTATGCATGGTGCAAAGAATAAAAACTTTGCATCATGGATGCTGGCAAGCAGAGTGCTTACTTTTGTGTCAGATTACATGTGGATAAATTGTCCTTTTGTCCCTAGAAACTTGGGCAGCCATCTCTCACTTTTGATAGATCTAAAGCTTAGAGCAGAAAATAAAGCATAACAATGTTATTTAGCTTATTATAATACTGTAGCACAGATGAGATATGGATACTATCACATCCTGGTAGAAAATAAAATTTTTTTTAAAAGTCTTTGCCCTTAAGAGCTTGCGATCTGTTCATAAGGTAAGTGATAGCAGGTGGATGCAGACAGAGTTGCTTAGTGTGCCAGGCAGTGGTATTGACACAATGGTGTCTCTTTTTAAACTTTTCCTAGGCATCATGGAGTAAAGTTCAGGTCCTTGGAAAAGGAAAGATTCTGTTTTGCTGTTCCTTCATTGGGTTTTTTTGGTTCAAGTTACTGTGCTACCAAAAAAAAAAAAATCATTCAGAATATAATGCGGTACTGAGTGGGATTTTCATCACACACATTCCAAATTCAGTTGTCTTCTGAATTTTTCTTGCTTGCTGTTGGTCAATTTGAATTAAGATTATCTGTTGTTGTAACAAAACAAGTCTCCCATGTCTGTCTACTTCTCACATTCACTTTCTATGTAATTGACAAGCAAGTAGTTCCACAGACTTGATAGGGCACTAATGGCTGTATGAGGCTATCTGTATTAGGCAATATCTTACCTTTGAGAAACAGATTTGCAGTATACTTCAGCCTATACAGATTATTATTCTGATCCACTTTATTGGGAAGGCTGATTCCAGTAAGTGTTAACTTCAGTCTTTGAAGTTGTCATCTAATTCAGAGTTAATGTAATACAGATCATTACTGGAAGCTTTTTTTATAAAGCTTATCTTCCTAATCAGCTTTTGGAGAAGAGATCTCAAAATTCCGTCTCTAATAGAAACAATGTTTTATCTTTTAGTAATTATACTGTTACTGGTATTGATTGGTTATGAACCATTCATACATGCAAGTTTCATACATGCTAATGACCTTGGAAAATGGTCCAAACACTAAACTTTAAAACTCTTGTAGGAGGCTTCCAAATATTTAGTAACTATGAAAGCCATTTTTCCACTTCAGTTTCATTTGATGGTTGGAGTATGGATCTAGATCTGTTCATTACTTGCTTGGTTTCAGAAGGGGTATCACTGGTAACTCCAGGTGTGAAGGAATCTAATTTTAGGTCCTCATATTCAAGTAGTATGAGTATAGGAGTAGTTCTCAGAATAAACTCATTTTAGCTGTGATGGATTTTCCTAGTAGGGTACTTCTTGGAGACTCCTGGTAGCTTGTGTGGCTGCAAGCAATGTTTGTATAAGAGAGAGATTAGCAATGATGCAGGTATTCCAAAGGAGCTGTCCAGTTTTTTTACCTTTTAATGCACTAGTGTAATACTGTACTGTCACATTGTGTACTAAACACAATGTATTTTATCACTGGAAGTGTTGATTTTTTTTCTAATCTTAATTTATAATGTTAGAGGATTAAACTGTTATGAGCAGAGTAAGTTATTTAATTGTGATATAATGTTATCCATCTTTATATGTCTGTAATTCTTCACCCTTCAGCAGGCTGTAATATGTTTGTCAATAACAAGTTGTCAGGTCATTCATTGAGGGGTGGATTTATGTTGTTGATTATAAATACTAATCATTCCAAATGGACAAATAAAACACTTAAAACCCCTTTATTTGTGCAGATTGCTTCTGTAAATGGGTCTTGGTTTTCTCCAGTAAGAAAGCTGACAATTCTTTCCATTGTGATTCCTGATAAATATGTGTGGCATTAGCTTAACTGGGTTGGAAGAGTTTTTCTGACATGCTGAATAGCCAAACAAATTATTAACAAATATCTCAAAATTACAGGAGACACTACTACTTTAGGCTACTGATGATGGTTCCTTTTCCAGCCACCTCCTGGTTTCACTGTATCAAAAGTAAATTTCTAGTTCAGGATTCAATTTGGAGTGGTGGTGGCTTGCTCTCTCTTTATTGAATTGGTTTTATTGCATGGTAGCAGCAGGTTGGTTGTTTTCACTTAATACTTTTGCATTGGTTTACCTGAAGTTTCTGTTGAGAGTCCATTTTCTGGAGGGTTGTGCAGATTAAGAAAATAGCCACTATAATTATTGCTATCTTTGATTTCAGCAGCATGGCCGAAGTAGGACAGTGCTTGGAGACTTTATTATCCTCACTTGGATGTTTGGGGTTTTTTTTTGTTTGTTTGTTTGTTTTTTGGGGGTTTTTTAACCCCCTTTGTGAGTACTACATTCATACAAGTCTAGCACGTGCTGGCAGTGTGGGGTGGGGAAGGCTGTAAAAAAAAAAAACAAAAAAAACCAAAAAAACCAACCAAAAACTCTAATTTTCAAAGAGTTGCTGGGCTTGTAGTGGATTCATCAGGTAGCTGTTTTAAGGTTTTGTGCATATTGTACTTTGGTACTTGATGAGAAGAAATATCATGTGCCAATTAATGTCAAGGCTTGCTGAAACATAAAATGAGAATGCTTATACATTTTCTTAATAAAGATATCTTAGGTAAAGTTTAAATGCTTTTTGTGTGTGGCTGGAACCTTAGTAATCATCCTGCCCTTATGGTAATGCGTGAAAAATGAGCACGAATAAGTTCCTCTTGTCACTAGATATGTTACTTCCATTTATGCTCAAGTGTCTTTGAAACAATAAAGGTGTTGTTTCTAGAACTTGTTCTTTTTAAAAAAAACCCAAACCCAAAACACCTACTAGCAACTGAGGAGAGGAATGTGCGTTGCAGCAGTGTTGCCAAGCTTTCATTGTGTGCCAAGGTACTTCTGCATGGCTTTCATAGTAGCTAAGACAATACACCTGTAAAACAGTATTTTTCCCCTCAAGGAGTTCTGGTATGGTTAAAACCAGATACGGAAACCAAACATCAATTTTGTCAGGGGGTTCCAAGTAACTTTGCAAGAGGTGCATTAAACTTGTCCTTTACTTTTGTACACCCCAGACTAAACCCAGACATATCCCCAGAAAGTGGAGACAAAAGTGACCTAAAAGTATTTGTGAGTGTTGGCTTTTTTTTTTTTAAATGCCTTTTCTGTTGGTATCAAGTGTCTCTGACTGAGAGTTAAAACTTCACTTAGAGCAGGAAAACCGTCATTTTCGTTTTACTGTGCTCATGGATGCATTTCAAAACACAACCGTAGTAGAGGATGTCTCAGTACAGCACTAACTCAAGGGTCTGCAAGAGAAAACGGAACCTGGTACACTAGGCTAATGTTGCGTAGCTGTGGTCTGGGAACCCTTGATAGTCTAAGAGAAGACAACACCCAAATGACTGACTTAAAAAAAAACAAAGCCACAAACAACAGAAATACCAAACCAAACTCTGCACGCATGTACACAAATAATATGGGAAAAAGCAAAGCACAATCCAGGTTTAACTTGGCTTCCCTTGTTCAGTTTCTGCTGGGAAACGCAGTCATCTTCCTTGTTGTTTTCCATGAACAATAATTTAATTAAAATGCCTATAGGGAATACAAGACTTAATTGTTGCTAAAAAGCAGATGTTGATTAGCTAGTTATAGACACTGATGCCATTTTCCAAGAACACTGAGATTAGAAAAGGTTAGAAAACATGACAACAGGTTAGGCAGCCGAAAGGCATGTCAGTGTTGTATGCATCAGTCCTGCTCCTGGTTGCAGATTTCTTCTCTGCTAGCGTAGCAGCATAGCTGTAAGAAAAGGAACAAACATTCTTCTGTTACTGTCACCCTCCTTCCAAGGTTTTGGGAAGCTTTATGTACACCAGCCAATCTGAGATCACACAGGAGTGGCTCTGTAGCCTTTTAGTTTTGTTATACAGAGTTAATCTAGTCATTTGGAATACCACTTGGCAATGAAGAACAGCAAATCCTGTTAAGGATGTCCGTATTCCCTTCTGATGTGATTGCTTGTAGTGGGAGCAATAAATGGTAGTATTCGCTGGCAAGAGATCAGACAGGTTTTGTGCTGAGCTGAAGTGCACGCTAGTGTCTCAGTGCAGGGATCTGTAAAGCTGCATTGGGATACACAATGTCTCTGGCATAAGCTGCCTGTTTCCTATTCAATCTAAGATTGCTGCTATATGGTTCGATTTTTTTCTCGCTGCTCAGCTGATACTTTATCCTAAAAAAAATGTTTTGC